CAAGTATTTAAACGTTTTCACTTGATCGATTGGAGCATTATCTACTTGCCGTTATATTCTTAAAAGAGATTTTTTCTTATTGCCATGCATTTAGTTTTTCTAACATTTATCTTCAAGCCATATATTTTCCTACGGTGTTAATATTATTTAATATTAACTGCATATCATATTCGTTGTCTGTTATTATCGCGGTGTCATAGAAATTGAAGAGCATAGGAGACAAAATACAACCCTGTCGCACCCCTCTTAAAATTCAAATTCCTATCGAACATGTATGTGACATGATAGGAAGGAAACTGTCCACTTTGCACCATCCTCCAGACTCTTTCACAGTTAATACATGAAGTTCAAGTTGCTTGGAAAGAGGCGCCACAAGCAGACATCTATCATCTCATTTTGTCAATGCCTAAATGTATTCAACGTATTTGATCAAGGTACGACAAATTGGATACCTCAGCCATATTCTGATAGGAAAAAAATACGCAATCCCTCAACTAATCATGCAGGTAAAGATTGAAGGCAAGAGAGGAGTAGGTCGCAAACAAATGTCGTGATTACGAAACATAAAGAACTGGACTGGCGATTTTTTGCATGCCGCAAAAGACAGATAATTAAGATAATTCGCCAACGCACTATAGATGCACGGCACTATAAGAAGAAGAGGAAACATATTCAGGAGTGTATACAGCTATGGCGTCTCCAATAACATTTTTTTTTTTTTTTTTTTTTTTTTTTTTTTTTTTTTTTTTTTTTTTTTTTTTTTTTTTTTTTTTTGATTACTTGTTAATAAAAATTCTTGACAACGTTATCGTTTCATTCTTGATGTAAATCTAGCATGTTGCCAAAAAATTAAATTCAAGAAATTATTTCTTCTGGGTGTAACACTTCTAATCTCATTGAGTATATTACTTTCTAGAATATATAGGGTATTTTTTATATTTTCTTAAAAGGCTTGAGTAAAACTGTGCCATGCATCTTCTTGGTACGTTAGTGTTTGGTACACCTTGGGATTGTGGAACAAATCTGTGGAACATAATGATGTCAGTCAGAACATAAGTTGTGGTGCAGCTGTCTGGCGATTTGTGTCGAAACTCAACGATTAATTCTTCTTCTTTACATGACATCTCTGCGACGGAGGTTGGCAATCATCATGGCTATTCTAATCTTAGATGCTGTCGCTTTGAATAGTTCGATTGATGAGCATCCGTACCATTCCCTCGAGTTACGCAACCATGAGACTTTTCTCCTTCCTACACTTCTCTTGCCCTAGATTTTCCCTAGTATAATTATTAATTGAAGTATGTTATAACTTTCATTACGCATAATATGCCCCAGGTATTGCAGCTTTCGTGTCTTGATGGTTTCCAATATTTCAATTCTTTTGTTGACTCTTCTTATGACTTCGTTGTTTGTTACATACTTGGTCCATGATATCTTCAGGATTCTTCTATACACCCACAGGGTGTATTCAAATGCTTTCAACTTTTTAGTAGTCGACGCTATAAGTGTCCATGCTTCTATCCCGTAAAGCAGAGTAGAGAAAATATATCACCTTGCCAGCCTAACTCTGGAATCTAATTTTAGTTCTCTTGCACAAAGTACCTTTCTCATTTTATTAAAGTTTGTTCGTGCTTTCTCTCTTCGAACTTTGGTTTCTTTGGAGTAATCGTTTGTGTGATTAATTATTGTGCCAAGATAAAATTAGTTTTTTTGATGTTTATTGATAATCCGTATTCTTCTCCATACTCAACTAACTTGTTTATCAGCTTTTGGAGGTTGTCTGCTATTATGATAGTATCGTCCGCATATGTAATGTTGTTAATCGGTGTTCCATTGACCTTTGTTTCTGCTGTTTCTCCCTCAAGAGCTCTTTTCATAATTTCTTCAGAGTATGCATTCAATAGTAGTGGTGAAAATACACATCCCTGTCGCACTCCTCTTTTAATTTCGAAATCTTTTGATGTGTTTTCATTAATGCGTATATTGCGTATGTGTGCCTGCTGTTTATAATATAGTTTTGTTATAATTCGAAGGTCATTGTATTGTAATTATTTTGCTTTGAGGACGTTCATTAGCTCTTTGTGGCGGACTTTATCGAAAGCCTTGTTGTAATCTATGAAACAGACGTACATATGGGTTCACATCCAAGCATCTCTGGATCAGTACGTTCAACGCAAAAAGAGCTTCACGTGTACCTTCGCCTCTACGGTATTCAAATTGGGTTTCTTCAATATCCATATCAAGTATTTGATAAATGCGTTTATTGATGATTATCAAAAACATTTTAAGTGTGTGAGACATCAGGCTTATGGTGCGGTGGTCGGTGCATTCTCTAGCATTTGTCTTTTTTGTAGACAAATAAATGTTGGCGTCAACTGTACATTGGGTATGTCACCCGAGTGATAGATTTCAGTTTGAAGAGCTTTAAGAGGACATCCATGTAATCGTTTTCTATTATTTTAAGGATTTTAAGGATATCAATAGGCAGTTGATCTGGCCCCGGGCTTTTCCGTTTCTGATGTTCTTTAGTGCATACAATATTTCTTCCTTTGTAATTTCTATACTTGTTTCTCTGCCCTCGAAAGATTATCTTGTAGGTTTCCTCTTTCGTCGTCGAAGAGGTCTTCCATATATTATTTCCATCGTTTTAGCTTTTCGTCAGTCGTTATCATAGTATTTCCATTTTTATCTAAAAGAGTTCTGTTGTGGGTTCTTTTTTGCAACCCTGCCATTCCTTTAACCTTTTTACGTAGGTTGAATAGGTCGTATTTGTTCTAAAGATCTATCTCTTTACATATTTTCTCATAGTAAGTTTGTTTTGCCTCTCTTATCATTTTTCTGATTTCATTGTTAATGATTTTGTCATTGTGATTGTCTTTATTCTTGGCGTGTCTTCTTTGGTTCGTCCTGCCGAGTATTTCGTCGGCCATCCAGTTGTCTCTCTTTCTTATCTGTTCTTTAAAATCTATTTACATGGAACGAGGATGCAGTTTTTAATGTTTTCCATTGTTGGTGTTAGTATCCAATTTATCAAAGTTTTCGTATATTTTCTGTTGGAATTTGTGTTTTTGTATATCAGCTTCTTTCTGTTTTCTAACATCTAATTTTGGAGTTCTTTGGGGTGTTCTAATACGTTTAAGCTTAAGCGTGACATTACCGATTAGTGGATTATGGTCTGATGTTACATCTGCTCCTGGATATGTTTTAACTGATTGGATGGTGTTATATATATATATATATATATATATATATATACATATATATATATATACATATATATATATATATATATATATATATATATATATATATATATATATATATATATATATATCTCCAAAACCAAATCAAGATGCTGAATTTAAAAGAACACAACTGGCATGGGGCGCTTTCGACAAACTAGCACATATCTTGAAAAACACCTCCATTCCTATAAACTTAAAAGAAAAAGGTGTATAACACATGCAGTAGCCCTTACCAAAAAATCTGTTAAAAAATTAGAAACAATGCAAAGAACAATGAAACGAATCATGCTTGGAATATCACTAAGAGACAAGATTAGAAACACCGAGATAAGACGTAGAACGAAGATTAGAGATATTGTGGAATAAATTACAAAAATGAAATGGCGCTGGTCAGGTCACGTAGCCCGATATAATGACAACAGGTGGACACGGAGAATTCTAGAATGGAGACCAAGGACGACAACAAGAAGCATGCGAAGAACTTAAAAAAGATGGGTAGATGATATATGAGTAGTGGCAGGCAAACAGTGGATTAGATTGGCGCAAGATAGAGAAAGATGGAAGCAATTGGGAGAGGCCTACATTCAGGAGTGGATGGAAAATGGTTGACAAAGAAGAAGAAAAAGACGATATCTCTCTTTAATCATTGTATAATCGATTTGGTTTCTTACCACTTTTTCCGGTTTATCTGCTAGTGAGCGCAATGTATATAACCATCTCATAGGTAATTTAAAGAACGTGTTTGTGATTATAAATTAATTGCGACAAACAATTGGTTGTGTGTCAATCAAAAGTAACAGTTAATTGATCTTATAGATGAATTTTTGCTACATGACCTACTTTCGATATCAATCTTGCGACCATCTTTTTAGAAGAAACTTAAAGATACTTAAACAAACGACTGGCATTTACTTTTTGACTCATATGAATAAATCCACCATTTAGAATCTTTCCTCTTCTTTTCACCATTCATCTTTTCACCATTTTTATCACCACTCATGATGTTGTACACTGAGTTTTCTGTGTTAAAACTGTCATGAGTTTTTGTCACTAGATCTCTCGAGCTGCTTTTTGATATTCGATCCACAGAAACTGTCTCCAATGGGAAACTATTTATGCAGAATTCTTTTTGCACAATTTTTTTTAATTGACGTCTGTGAAATCCTTAATTATGTCTATATAGCGATGTCACGATTTTCGTAGATAAGCTTGTGCAAAGCAGAAAACCAGCGAACCTACGTCGTGTAACTATTTTTTCTTCATCTTGGACTGTGAAAAATCTTTTATAGCAATGAAGTATACATACATATCTAATAGTTTGTTAATTTCTCATCCCATATTTGTAGAAGCTACCAAGATGAACAAGTTGTGGCAGCCTGTTTTGCATTAGTGGAACGATTACTTCTGAGAGATTCTGGGCTTTAGATTAAATAACACCGAACTAAAAGCAGATTTGGTACAAAACGTATTTCCAGTTAGCTGATCCTTAATGATTGATTAAAAGTCAATAGGTGCTTCAAACATAGTATTACTAATATTTTATTGAAATTGCTTTTTGTAGTATATTAACTTTCTTAAAATTTAAAGCAATTATTTTGTTTTGTTGCGTTTATAACAGAACGAGCTAATTCTTCTCATAATATACTTTTTATCTTCTTCAATTATAACACATTTAATGTCAATGACTATATTCTGCCAGTTTATTTAATATCCTTTCTAGATGATATAACTATTAATGTACATTTTTTGTTTCAGGCGCCTAGACTAAGGCCTGAATTGGAATTCATGCAAGCACTGATCCTCATCGGCAAACTACTTAGTTCCATACCGACTAAAGAAGCTAAAACCACAAGACTTGTAGCTGAGTTGACTACTCTCAATCTCAATCTACCGGCCAGAGTATGGTTGCCGTTGAATAGTCAAAATCCCCATTTTATCGTTAGGATACCTCCTCAAGTGGCAGCTGTACTCAACTCGAAAGATAAGGTAAGTTGTAAAGTTAAATATGAATCAATGTAAGTTTGTAAAAATGTAAACATGGAGTTAAATACTGATCCGGCTCGAAGGATCCCTAACGCTCTATTACTATAATTGACTAACTTACATAACATTAATTTAGATGCACCTTATGGGTTTCGCTCAGTACCTTAAGGTCGATTCCTTATTTTTGACTTGATTTCCAGTTTAGTGCATCTCATACAGTAAGCGATTTTTATTCTCGTAAACTTTTGTTACCGCAACAATATATAGTTTAAAAGCAGTTTTTAGGTTAGATAACGCTTTAAAAACCATTTATTATGAGAATAAATAACAATTCTTATATGAGTCTAATAAGCTGCTAACATTCAGATAGCCTTGAAAAATGATTTTGATTGATAAGTTTCCTTCGAATTGTCATAATAATGGAATTGCTTTATAAATATCCAGACAGTGAAATAATTTATTTTTGTTCGTTCGTAAGTTTCCATTACATTTCCAATTACAAATATTTACTATCTTATTAATAGAACCAATTAGAAAAATTCTGATCACCAATTATATTGTTTATACCATTGATTTACTAAATCAATTATTTTTCGATTTATACGTGGCAAAGTTTATTTTACAACTATGTAAACATTTGTACAACAATTATGTTTTCAAAAGTCGTAGAATTAAAGCCATTGCGACTACATATTTCGATTATATGATTATATGTCACCTACATAACAACATGTATTGTTGCCAAGTTACTTCAATGAATTCACTTACCTTGTTATTTGTAAGTTGTGTCGTTTCGTTAATATAATCCAAAAATCGCAGGTTCACGAGTTACACAACTATAAAGTGTTATACCTGGATATGTTTTTACTGAAATGTCTATTGCTACGAAACAACATGATTTGAGCTTTAGCCGCGTTTTTTTTTGAAAGAATAAAACTTTGCTGTGTCTGCATTATTGATGCACATTCCCCAACAGCATATGTATCTGCCATTTCAATATCTCTAGAATCATTCGTTCTATTATCGATGTCTCCTTCGTTACTATGTATTTCAATTATTTCAGCAAGTTTCCATTTACTTCAGCATTTCGCTGGTATGTTATCACTTCCAGAGCATTTGTTGTTTTTCGGCTTTTTTATTATTTCCTTTATTTGTTATTTGCTGGGTGAAGTGTGTTCTACATCTTCCAAGTGTTTATTTTCTGCTTCTGCTTTTCTTTGTTCTTTTTGGTTTAGCTTCTCCTTATCATATAGTTATTCGTCGAAATATTATCTCCATCTAAAATATTCTCTCTAGTATGTCTGCTTTCTAAAAGGAAAATAGTTGTTAACGACAATAAAAACAGCCAAAATCGAATACATCGGTCACATTATGAGGAACAGCCAAAAATATGAGTTGCTGCAGTTAATTCTACAAGGAAACGTAGAAGGAAAACGAAGAACAGGAAGGCGGAGGATTTCCTGGCTGAAAAATCTACTTACGTGGTTCAACACAACAACCACAAATTATCTCAGAGCAGCAGTTTGCAAAATACAGATTGCCATGATGGTCGTCAACATCCGAAATGGATAGGCACTACAAGAAGATGTCTGCTTCTCAGCGAATACTATTCCACGTTTTATTTTTAAAGAATATAGGTTTTTGTTGGTATCCTCTTTTCTCATTTTTGGGGAGCATAAAGATTCTGACTTCTTTGTTTCTGTAGTCCCCTTTTAATTATTTATAGTTTATTTTTTAAGTGTATTTTTTAAGTCTTTTTTTCTTCGTTTTTCTTAACAACCTATTTACTTTTTTCTTTTGATCTCGTTTTATATATATTATTTATATCTATTATTTATTTCGTGATCATTTCCATCCTTAACGGACTTGTTTTTTGCTATCTTCTTTTTTTGCACTCTATGTCGAACCACCTTTTTTTTAATATTCTTAGGTTTGTTACGTTCTATTACTCTATATTCTTATGTTTATTACATTCTCTTAAGTACTGCTTTAGTCATTACGTCCTATATGCTTTTCCAGTTCTTCTCTGTTTGTTCTTCTATATGCATCTTTTTAATTCTCTTTTTATCATTTCTATTTGTTTCCTGTTTTTTTTCTTTGTTGCTAGTCAGATTGTTATATTTATATACTTTCTTTCTTTTATTTTGATTTTATTTTCTGGAATCATTTGCTTGATTTTGATGTCTAGCATGAAATGATCGCAGGTGGCATCGGTCCCCTGTGTGTTCGTATTATCTTTATATACTTCTGTCCTTTTTCAATCTGAACGTTTAGGTTTTTAGTCTTTGCATCTTTAGATCTTCATCCTTATGTATTTTTTCCCTTTCAAAATATGTACTTACTCATAATATATTTTTACTCCAGTTGGTAGAGACCAAAATACCACTGAGCCTCTAAAAATCATACAAACAAGATGATTTTAGTTTATTCGTCTTCCGGGTTTGGACCGTGTCATTTGTGAGTGACCCAAAAGTGGGTTCATCTCGACGTTTCGCTACAATTGTATGTAGCTTCTTCAGGAGAACAAAGAAAAAGAAATCAAAAGACAGAAAGATGGGTAGTTAGCAACGGTAACTCAGTTACTCAACGCAACCAGAGGCGAATACTAACTACCAAGATGGGCATTTGGTCACAGTAACTCAACTACTTAACGCAGCCAGAGGTGAAAACCAAATGCCAGGACAGGGATTCACGTCCAACAGCTCAGAACACTAACGCGTCGAGAGGCGGGGAGTGAATCCGACGATTACTCCGCTACCGCTCTATTTATAGTCGCGGTGACCTGTCGTATCGGGACGTATCGGCACACTCCGTGGCGCGAACGTCAAGAAGCGCGCGCTGGCCAATCATGTGGCTGCATCGTGGTAGCGGGACCGGACGGCGGCTCTAGACTGAGATTCCAGATGGGAGACAAGTAGTATCCTTCCTCTCGATTGATATTATGTGGATTTTTTCGGATCTCTAGAGATTCGCGGATTTTCCTGGAATAAAAGAAGGGGCTCTTAGAAATAATATGGGTTTTTTCGAACAATATGGAATGACCGGTTTCTTGGCAGTGTTCTGCAAATGCAGAATGGGAGAAAAGACCTGATCGAATGCATCTTTGATGCTCTTGAATCCGAGTTTTGACGGAACGACCAGTTTCGCCAATATACACATGTCCACATGAACAAGGAATGGAATAGACACCACAGGAAGATAGGGGCGGTAATGGGTCCTTAGGAGAGGGTAGATATTGTGAGATTTTCTTGGGTGGTCGAAAAGTAGTCTCGAAAAGTAGTCCTGATACCTTCTTTGCGAAGAATTTTGCCAATCCTATCAGTGACACTTCGAATATACAGAAGAAAAGCCACAGGAGTATTACCCAAAGATTCTGAATTTGTCGTCCTAGGGTGTAAAGGGGGATGTAGATGTCGGTGTGTAATATTTTGAATTGTGGACTTGGAGTAACCGTTGGCGACAAGGGTTTTTTGCAGATGGCCAAGTTCGTCTCTAAGGTTGTCAGGTTCAGAAATCGAAATGGCCCGATGGATGAGAGAGTTGATCACAGAATTCTTTTGGGCAGGATGGTGGTGTGATGAAGCATGTAGGTAACGATTCGTGTGAGTCTTTTTTCTATAAACAGAGTGACCCAATCGGCCATTGGGCTTGGAGGTGACTAACACATCGATAAAGGGAAGGGACCGATTATTTTCTACTTCCATTGGGAATTTTATACTCAGATGTTGTGAGTTAAGATGATCTAGGAAGGGAGAAAGGGTATGTTGACCATGGGGCCAGATGATAAATGTATCATCAACGTAGCGGAACCAGACTTTTGGTTTTAAGGGGTAAGATTCTAGGGCTGAAGACTCAAAGGCTTCTATGAAAATGTCAGCAATGACAGGGGAAAGGGGAGAACCCATTGGTGTTCCAGATATTTGTTTGTAGAAATTGCCTCTAAAAGAAAAATATGTTGAAAGGAGGCATTTTTCCGCAAGATCTGCCAAAACCAAAGACTTGTTATCATTGGTCAAGTGATCTCGCAGAACAACCAGAGAGTCATGTATGGGGATATTGGTAAAAAGGGATTATACATCGAAACTGACGAGAATGCCTTGGGGATCGACCGTGAGGGAGGAGATTAAGGTGATGAAATGTGTGGAATTTCGGACATAAGAAGAGGTACGACCAGTATAGGTCTTAAACTGATTCGACAATTACTGATCATTCAAGCTGATTTTAGTTGAGAATGTCAATTTTGGGACTCCAAAAAAGATTTACCACTACAATTTACCACAGAAAGTTTACCGTTGCTATTCCCGACTTCCCCCTAAAATCTCCCCGTAGGGAGGGGCCAAAAAAATGGAAACATTTTTTTCTAAGGTGTACAAATTCTTGATAAATTAATTTTTTGCGTTTTTCTCGCCCTACGAGGTTTTTAAGGGGAAGCCGGGGGTATGAGTGGTAAACTTTTTTACATCTTTTTTCTGGTCCCAAAATTGACATTCTCAACTAAATTCAGCTTGTTTGTCTCGTTTTTGGAGATCAAATCTCTAACAACTGGACTATTTTATCCCTTGATTTCCAGTTTCTTACATATGACATCTGTTAGAATAGACAATAGAGAATGGTAAACATTTTCAGTGAAAAAAAAAACAGACCTAGAAAACACATCGATATATTTAATCTGAATAAAATTGGGCGGGTAGACCTTAAGAAAATTTAATAATGTTACAGTTTCTAGTGTTGGTATTATTTGGTATATAGTTCATTATTTGTTTCGTTTCAGGCACCCTACATTATCTACGTCGAGGTAGTTGAAGTTGAAGACTTGGAAAGCTCTCCTGTGCCACCAAAGATCATGCCAACCTTGAGACATACCAAATCTGAAGAAAATCTTAAGCACGAAACCGTTTCTCTTTCCGCGTTCAGCATGTGCGGAGGTTGCTACGATGACTTAGATCCTGATTGGAGTCAAGAAGACGATGAAATCTCACAACAGGTAAGTTTTAACACTTTAACATATTGTATTTGTAACGGATTTTATAATAACGTTTGTTTTCAGATAAAATGTAACTCAAATGATTTTTTTTGGTCTCGTAATAGATCTTTAACACTTCTTCTTTATAAGTAAGACTGGTAGTTTCTGGCGTATGTTATTTATTTTACCCGAGTGTTCCAGTTTGGCTTTGTATCCTACGGAGAAGAGTTCAATATAAAGTTTATGATTTTTAGTGGTATACCATATAATTTAGGATTTTCCACATCTTTACCTTATTTACATGGTCGAAGGCCTTGTCAAAGTCGATAAAACTTCCATCAAGATCTTTATTCTATTCATTTGTTTATTCCAAAATAATTCTAAAGCTACAAATGTGGTCACTGGTGGAGCGTTAGTTATTTCCCAGTTTTTTATCTAGTTCCGGTTTCAATATTTCCAATATTATTTTGGCTAGCACTTTGGGTGCGCCACGTAATAGTGTTATTGGACGCCAATTATTGAATCTAATCAGGTTTCCTTTTTTGGGTATTTTTATTATCAATCCGTCTTTCCACTTCTTTGGTAATTCTTCTTTACTCCATGTCTTGTCCAAAAGTTTATGTAACACCTCCATTGATTGCAGATACTGCATTTAGTAGGTCTATGGGTATATTGTCAATTCATGCGACTTTTCCTTTCATTAAAAGTTTTAGTGTATTTCCAATTTCATCCCTTGTAATTTCTCCAATATTTACTTCTAGCTGTGGTGATGATTCTTGTATTATTTCTCTCGTATTTTTGCCTTGTATTTCCTTTCCAGTGACCTTTTTTCTTCCAATACTTCATTTTGTAGGAATTCTTCTTGGATTTTTTCCTTTCTTTTATCAATTGTAGAGTGTCTTTAGTTATCCATTTTTTATTTTCTTTTCTTTTCAATCCGATTGTTTCATTTGCTGTATTTATCATTACTTCTTTAAAATGCATCCATGTTTCTTCGTCTGTCTCCAGTTTGTTGTGATACAGTTCGGGTAATTGCCAGGTTTTAAGCGAATGTATTTCTTATACTTGGTTTTGGTATAATTTTTATCTTTTTAACTTCATTCTCAGTTTTGCGCTGACTATGTGGTCTGACCCCACATCAGCACTTCTTAAGCTTTTGACATCTTGCAACCAGCTTCTCCATTCATATTCAATTGTTATGTGGTCTATTTGATTCTTTTTCCTCTCTCCTCGTGATTTCCATGTTTCCTTACGTTTAAAGATGCCTCCACCTATTACAAGTTCATTTTGTTCATAAAATTAGTCGATTTCCATTGTCGTTTCTCTATCCTATTCCCTTACGTGTTCATACCCTGTATTATCATTCCCTATTTTAGCATTAAAGTCTTCGATTATTATTTTCACATCTCTTCTAAATTAATTGTTAATATGATTGGACGTTGTTTACAGTTAGTCATAAAATTCTTCCTTCTCATGTTCGTCGTTTTTATTTGTAGGAGCATATACATTTACTACTATAATGTTATAGTATCTTGCCTTCAGTAAAGCCCAAATAATTCTTTCTGATATTGGTTCCCTCTCTATTAAAGCCTTTCTTCCCTTTTGGTCTAGCAGTATTGCCACTTATTCCCACTCCCTTTTCGTGTTTATCATGTACGTCTGTGTTCCCAGAATATATCATTAGTTGTTTAGAGACGGAGACGTCAACAGATCCTATATGTGCAAACATAATTGCATATAAAGATGCACCAATAGTCATGAAAGAAACAGACAGCAAAAAGGGAAAACTCATAAACTGGCTATTTGCCTACAAGATCGATGCCAACTCTACTATTAAGATCTTTTATTATTATTTCTGGGGTTTTTCCTATTTTTGTAATTTCTTCATTGAGTTGTTTAAAAAATTCTTCTTTCACTATGCTAGTCTCTTAGTCATATTTGAACCAAGTCATTTTTTATATAAACTCTACAACGATTTGTGATTTACTTTACTTTTTCCAGAAATTTTAACTTCTTTTCGCAGGTGTCTCCATACTATAGGTACATTAAACATCCATTCAAATTGCGCCATTGCTGATAGACATTTTTTAAATATTCGTTCTGAGAATTTAAAATAAGGCTATAAAATACATCGAGAATAATGGAGTAAAATCTTCATTATTTTTCTTTCTCCTTCGCTTTACCTGCCATTTTATAATTAAATTATCTTCAAGTTTTTCGTGATGAATATTTGTTTTAAATGTTATATATTTCTAAGCCACTTTTTAACAGCTATCATAAAAGTAATATTCACAAAACATTTTTGAATACGACCATCTAAAATACTTAAAATTAAAATAAAAGGTGTTCATTAAATTACAATTAGGTATACAAATGAAATGTTAATTTGTACAAACACGAAAAAATTGAAGTCGGCAAAATAAATATTTCCTTAACTAATGTATAAATATGAATTATATAGGTGATAATGACGAAGGTTAAAATTTATCTACACATGACTTATACAACAGTTTCTTTTAAACATAATTGAATCATAAATTTCGTCATCCTTCAAAATATTGTAGGTACCCATTTTTTTTTAATGTATGGCCTCATCTTTTTTCCATGCCTCTTGGACATAATATTTCGATACCCAGTAAATCCAAAGAAGCTCCAATTTTAGAACTGATTTGTCAATTATCGTTCCATTGTTTCCATTATGATACAGTTATATTACAGATAATGTTATAACTACATAAAGCGCTAAAATTAGCAACATTGTCTCGTACGAGGTAATTGTAATTCTCCGATCCCCTCCGACATATTAGCCATAGACTCCTAGACAGAAAACGAAAACCATTTAGTAACACATAATAACGCAAGGGATATGCATCTCCTTCCATCGATTTTTGTTCTGCTTACGTCTACCCGGTTCATTTCTTATAACATTCATTCGATAAAAATACACTGACCATTATAAGGCGGTGTATTTGTATCGGTTTTTAATAATGTGAACAATTTTTTGTGGTTAAATTAAAAATACAAGATCATTTCTTTAAAAAGAAAAAACAAAAAATATACTCTTATTGAAAATAAAAAATAATTCCTAATCAAATAAGAAATAATTCTTTATGTCCTACAGAAATGATTCAAATATTTGACCTACGGCTGAACAGTATCTCAATATGTCATAAAAACTTCTACGGCCAGATGTAAGAATTTCTGCTGTAACAGACTTGGAGACTTTTGTTATTCGGTTTTTTAATTCATCCAAATTTTGGGCTCTCTTTTTAAATGTACCCAAAAAAAGAAGTCCATGGGTGTAAGATCTGGAGATCGCGCAGGACACTTAATATCCCGTTCTACTTATAACTCGATTCGGGAAAGTATTGTTTAAGTACTTCCTAATTATTCGAGCGTTCTGAACTGAACAGCCGTCTTGATGGAACCGAACATTCTCCAGATTTACTTCAGGAAGATTGGAAATAGCGGGAAGAACATGATTCTGTAACAAATCGAGGTATACTCTTCTATTCAAGTTGCTCTCGATAAAAAATGGACGTATTGTGTGGGCTCCTAAAATGCCAGTCCAGACGTTAACTTTTTGAGGACGTTGAGTTCGGTAAATAACACTTCTGTGCTGGTTTTCCTGCGCTCAATACCTTTTAATGGAAGGATTGTGTCTCCCCGCTAACGAAACAGAAGATTTATCAGTAAATAAAATGTTTTTAATAAAATTGGGTCCATCATTAGCCTTCGTTATTAGAGTTTCACAAAACTCCAGTCTTTGAAAGTAGTCGTGTGGATAAAGCTGCTGCTGATATTTAAAATTCTTATAACCGTGCTTTTTTATACTTTCATTACATTAACATTTCTAACATCTAACTCTCTAGTAACGCTTCTACTTGAACGTGTTGAATCTACCTTGATTGTTGCACAAATTTGTGTATCCCGGTATTCTGTTTCCTCAACTTTTTCTGGTGACACTTCTTGAGCCATTTTCTGCAATTTTTGAGGCAATAACACCCCTAAAAATTTTTAATAATATTATGAACTGATTGTACGCTGGTACAGTCAGTTCAGGAATTGTAGGAATTGGTATCCACTCAAAAAACTCGCGCGCGCGCAATGTTGCCATTTATAGTGTGTATATCGAATTTAAAACTTAATTTTCCATGTATAAGAAGCTCTTTCTGCTATGTGATTATCCATCAAATCTGCTTTCAATTATTAACAGTGGCATTATTATCCACAACTAGATTTATACTAGGATCGAATGATCACACCATTTTCTTTGTATAATTATTTATAAGTTCTTATTTTTAGTTGATACACTTTGTTTTAGCTAATTTTATGTAATTGTTTTGATTTCTAAACTAATATTTTTCCACTTCAGTACAACCATATGAGAAAGCCAGTAGACAGGGATACAATTTCGCAAATGAGTCAAGAGTCTAGCGATTCCAGAGAACCACCAATGTCGATACCAGCCAGTGAGATAAGAAGGCGACTGTCCGATTTTTTTCATGAAGAGAAAAATAAACAGTTCACTCACGACCCAGAAGATCCTTCTGCGGCTGTTCTGAAAGAACCTTGGCAGGTAAAAACCGAAAAAAATTTATTTTAGATATTATTAAATGTTGATATTGACAGATATTTTATTTCTCTGTCAGTTCTTAATATGGTGTTGCTTTTTATTAAGCATTTAATAATTATTTTATAGTTACTTTAATAGTTATTATTTAAAGTGTTTTGTTTGTTGAGTACTAATTATTTCACTCTATTTTGTAGTATTTTTCTCATGTTCCATTTTAATAAGTTTGATTTTTAGTTATTTTATGTAAATACAGCCGTAGCATTTTCTATGCTTTTACTTTTTAGTTGTCAGTACCATCCATATTTTCTTAACATTGTTTGATTACACAATTTCTAGTTCATTATCATTTATGCCACTTTACTGCAAATAATTTCCTCAGTGTTCTACTAACTAGTGCTTCTTTTTTTTTATTTATTTTAGCGACTAATTTTAACATCCTGTTTGATTTGTAACTATAAAAAAGGATTCTACATATTCCAGCTACCAAAACATTAAATTTTAAACCCTTTCTTTAAAAAATTCAAACAATTATTCATTTTAATGTGTTCCTTGGATCTTTTTCACAAACTCATTTTGAAACAATAACAAAGAGTTGAAAATACGTCTTTAAATACGTTTTCTTTTTAGGATAAAGAGCAAAGAATTCGCGAAAGTTCACCATATGGTTATCTATCATCCTGGAAGCTGCTCTCCGTTATTGTCAAATGCGGAGATGACCTACGACAAGAGTTAATGGCTTCACAGATATTGGAAACTTTCCAAAAAATTTGGGAACTCGAACATGTTCCGCTCTGGTTGCATCCTTACAGGTGGGCATTTGTCACATTATTAATTAAACGCAGAAATACAAGCCAGAAATAATAGAAAAATAATAAGTGTATGAGAGATCATTTTCGAAGTTGGTGTGGGATTAACGTTGATTTTTGGTGTTATCTAGTATATTTAATAAGAATTTACCATAGTTTTAATTAAAAATAAGTTTATTTTGACGTTTCGATTTCCAATTCGGATTTTTTATTTTTTTTTTTAATTTCGGAAATCGAAAAGTCAAAATAAACTTTTTTGACTTTCTATTGAAAGGTTTGTATTATGATCGACAGAACTAGTTTCAAAATCCAACTACATCAACTGACAAAAACCAGGATATGAGAGTAAAAAATCATTTTTTATTTATATGGAATTCAAATATAAAAAGTAAATAAACTAATTTACATATATTATAACTGTCAAATGTCAATTATGAAAGTTTTCCGTTGACCTCTTACTAACTTCATCTCATGAAAGTTATCCAATGAAGTACCAAGTGTAGCTTGCGAAAACTCTTAAAGATGTTTTTGTATTATTTTGTTTTATATTTTTAGAATATTGTGTTTGTCGGACGACAGCGGCTTGATTGAACCCATATTGAACACAGTATCTCTTCATCAAGTGAAGAAACATTGTCAGTTATCGCTACTCCAATATTTTATTAATGAATATGGACCGATGACTTCCGAAGGTTTTCTTACAGCCCAGAAGAATTTCGTTCAAAGTTGTGCCGCTTATTGCCTTATCTGTTACCTGATTCAGGTTAAAGATAGGTAAGATTACTTTTTTATAACAAGATAAATAAATTTAAAAAAAAATGTATATAAAATATGTTTATCATATACAAAGGTTTTATTTTCCACAAATAACAAGGCTAAGAAACATCTTCCAAGTGTGCAAAATATTTAATTTGTTATCCTTATAGTTCTCGTCCGTCTAGAAAAACTATAATATTTGGTGGTCTGATAAGTAAACTCCTTTAAAATTAATTATTTTTATATTTTTACAGTCTTCTTTTAGCTCAATACAATGATTCCAGCGATTTTCCAACTTGATTTCTGGAAGCTCTGTAAAATAGATATCGTCAATTATCTCTTTGTTCGAGCTTAATTTTGTATTTAGGAACCATTTATTCCAATTTAAAAACACATAATAATCGGAGGAAGCCAAACCAGGAGAATGATCTGGATAAGAAAGCAATTCGAAGCCCAACTCATGAATTTTTGACATTTGTGAACTAGTGCATTGTCTTGGAGGAACAACACTACTTCGGCATTGGGTGACGTTTCTCACTGAGTTTCTGCTCCAATTTATTTAATAATCCACAATAATATTGCCTATTGATAGCTTTATATTTTTCAATTCTCAATTAAAATTATGCCTGTGCAATCCCGAAATAGAGTGACCATAACATTTCTTTGAAAATAAGGCTATTATCGAGCACAAAATAATTAAATCAAGCCCAAGTACTTTCGCTTATAATAGCATCTTCAGGGGCATCTGAAATAAGCCAAGAAAACGTTTTTTAGATGAAGTAAATTAGTTAACTTCGATAAAAAACTCGAAGTTAATGGATGAAAAAAAGTTTTTGAGATTACCGTTTTAGACTTACTTCGTCAAAATAAGATCTATCCAGCAAGCGTAGGAAGTTGAAACATTAAAACTAACATAAATTATACAAAACACTACACTAAAACGAGGACAAACAGTTTAAAATTGCTTCTACGCTACATTCTCTGTCAGTTTCTGGAGGGATAATGATCTAAGCGGAAATGATACGGTGACATATGACATATGACAACTTTGATAGACAATCAAAGTTATGGATCTGTGATCAGCAAATATTGAAATTCTGTATAAGTTGTCATTGGCCAAAGGTACAACTAGAACTACTATTTAAAAAACAGCTGATGACGTATGACATGTAGAATATTTTGATTTAAACTAGATTGCATAATCCAGATCTCACACTCACACCCGTCTGTAATGATAAGGTTGTAGGTTTGAGGCTAAATGAAGTGTACATAAAGTGTGAATGAAAGAAATAGACCAAACGATCTATTGGACAGTGGGTAGTTGACTACAATAAAATGGTCTACCTTACACTGTCAATATTGCAAAATGATAAGAAAATTGACTATAAAATTGAAATATTAAAATTAGATCAGAATTGAAAGCAGTGTGTAAATAGTTATAGTTCAAGTAGTTCAGTTAAACCTCAAGCCAATGGGAACTATAAAACTAATATGTAATAGCATTGCTAAAGACCAACCGACCAACAGGTGTTGAAATATAAACTGTGGAATTAGTATATGTAAGTTATGCAAAGATATGAAGAGTGAAATCAACTCCAACTGTGGATCAATTGAATCTGAGCAAGCTAGTTGTGTAAATTGTTAAATACAATAGTACTGCTGAACAGAGCTTGAAATTGGTAGATTCTTAATGTATAGACTCAGTGCAGGAAGTCTAGACAGCCGAGCTGGGTCCACTACGAGGTGAAGCTGTAATAAAGTTTTTAAAAATAGGTTTAAATTTAGTACAGTTTAAATTAATTTGAGTATTAAGACAATGAGAGTTTCCATTCGTTTCCTTTGTGATCTCCAAATCTTCCAATAGATCCAACTCCAAATAATTTTTCTTTCTACTGATGTCATGCAAAATAGACGACCCAGTATTGATGTTGAAATTGTGTTTGGTAGACTCTAAATGTTGACCAAAACTTGAAGAGTTTGGTCTTTTTAAATGTTCTGATATTCTAGTAGATAGCTTTCTAATGGTTCTGCCTACATAAGAGGCATCACAATCATCACACTTTAATTTGTAAATACCACTTTTGTCAAGTGTGTTCAGCCTGTCTTTAGTGTTAATTAAAAAGGAACCTACAGTGTTGTGTGACTTAAAGGAAATTTTGATGTTTTCAACTGTAGAAGTGAAAAGTTTGGCTATTTTATTAGAAATGTTACTAATATAAGTAAAAGAGAAATATCTGATATTGTTAGAAGAATTTTGCTGGAGAAGACTTTGTGATGAATATGCAAGCTTTTCTGTAATTTTGAGTTTAGCTCTATTTAGAAGCTTATGAATAATGTTGGGATCATAACCATTATTTAAAGCAATTTGTTTGAGAGTGTTGAGTTCTACATTAAAGTTATCATTTGAAAGTGGAAATTTAAGTAATCTGTGAATATAACTATTGAAAGCTGCCATTTTATGTTGGGTTGGATGGTTGGATGTCTCATGTATAACATGATCTGTTTGGGTGGGCTTTCTGTAAATATTGTACTCAAGAGAATCTTTATTGCGAGATATAGTCATGTCCAAGAAGTTCAACTTATTGTCAGATTCTGGTTCCAAAGTAAAAGAGATGTTGGGATGAAGGTTATTAAGATCTTCCAGAATCTGTAAAGCATCATCTTGGGATCCTTGTATCAGAGCTATACAATCATCAACGTACCTTGACCAAAAAATTATTTTGTTGTTGTTGTTAACAAATTTCTGTTCTAAGCTGTCCAAAAAAATATCAGCTAAAAAAGGTGATAATGGAGAACCCATTGCTAAACCTGTAGGTTGTTTGTATATTTTTTGGTTAAATTGGAAGAAGTCTTGATCAAGACAGAATTTGAGCATAGTTGAGATAGCATCTCTGTCTTTAGCCGGTATGTTGCAATTGTTTAAAAGGTTGTGTACTAAAGGTAATGTTTCATCTCTTGGTACAGAAGTAAACAAATTGGAAACATCAAAGGAAACCAAATAAAAACTCTCTTCTATTTTGATGTTATTTAAACGTTCTATTAGATCTAAAGAATTTGTAATGGAGAACTTAGGTTTAAAATTAGTAATAGATTGGATTGTGTTATAAACAAACTCTGACAATATAGAAACTGGAGTGTTGCAAAAACTTACAACAGGCCTAATGGGACAATTGTGTTTGTGAATTTTAGGAAGTCCATATAACCTAGGTGTTATAGGGTTAGATATAATTAACTTTCTGTTGTTATATTTAGAGATAGTATCATTAAACAATTTAACCATTGCTTTTGTTTTATTAATAAAGGTGTTAAGTGGATTTTTTTCCAAAACCAACATCTCTTTTACTTTGGAACCAGAATCTGACAATAAGTTGAACTTCTTGGACATGACTATATCTCGCAATAAAGATTCTCTTGAGTACAATATTTACAGAAAGCCCACCCAAACAGATCATGTTATACATGAGACATCCAACCATCCAACCCAACATAAAATGGCAGCTTTCAATAGTTATATTCACAGATTACTTAAATTTCCACTTTCAAATGATAACTTTAATGTAGAACTCAACACTCTCAAACAAATTGCTTTAAATAATGGTTATGATCCCAACATTATTCATAAGCTTCTAAATAGAGCTAAACTCAAAATTACAGAAAAGCTTGCATATTCATCACAAAGTCTTCTCCAGCAAAATTCTTCTAACAATATCAGATATTTCTCTTTTACTTATATTAGTAACATTTCTAATAAAATAGCCAAACTTTTCACTTCTACAGTTGAAAACATCAAAATTTCCTTTAAGTCACACAACACTGTAGGTTCCTTTTTAATTAACACTAAAGACAGGCTGAACACACTTGACAAAAGTGGTATTTACAAATTAAAGTGTGATGATTGTGATGCCTCTTATGTAGGCAGAACCATTAGAAAGCTATCTACTAGAATATCAGAACATTTAAAAAGACCAAACTCTTCAAGTTTTGGTCAACATTTAGAGTCTACCAAACACAATTTCAACATCAATACTGGGTCGTCTATTTTACATGACATCAGTAGAAAGAAAAATTATTTGGAGTTGGATCTATTGGAAGATTTGGAGATCACAAAGGAAACGAATGGAAACTCTCATTGTCTTAATACTCAAATTAATTTAAACTGTACTAAATTTAAACCTATTTTTAAAAACTTTATTACAGCTTCACCTCGTAGTGGACCCAGCTCGGCTGTCTAGACTTCCTGCACTGAGTCTATACATTAAGAATCTACCAATTTCAAGCTCTGTTCAGCAGTACTATTGTATTTAACAATTTACACAACTAGCTTGCTCAGATTCAATTGATCCACAGTTGGAGTTGATTTCACTCTTCATATCTTTGCATAACTTACATATACTAATTCCACAGTTTATATTTCAACACCTGTTGGTCGGTTGGTCTTTAGCAATGCTATTACATATTAGTTTTATAGTTCCCCATTGGCTTGAGGTTTAACTGAACTACTTGAACTATAACTATTTACACACTGCTTTCAATTCTGATCTAATTTTAATATTTCAATTTTATAGTCAATTTTCTTATCATTTTGCAATATTGACAGTGTAAGGTAGACCATTTTATTGTAGTCAACTACCCACTGTCCAATAGATCGTTTGGTCTATTTCTTTCATTCACACTTTATGTACACTTCATTTAGCCTCAAACCTACAACCTTATCATTACAGACGGGTGTGAGTGTGAGATCTGGATTATGCAATCTAGTTTAAATCAAAATATTCTACATGTCATACGTCATCAGCTGTTTTTTAAATAGTAGTTCTAGTTGTACCTTTGGCCAATGACAACTTATACAGAATTTCAATATTTGCTGATCACAGATCCATAACTTTGATTGTCTATCAAAGTTGTCATATGTCATATGTCACCGTATCATTTCCGCTTAGATCATTATCCCTCCAGAAACTGACAGAGAATGTAGCGTAGAAGCAATTTTAAACTGTTTGTCCTCGTTTTAGTGTAGTGTTTTGTATAATTTATGTTAGTTTTAATGTTTCAACTTCCTACGCTTGCTGGATAGATCTTATTTTGACGAAGTAAGTCTAAAACGTTAATCTCAAAAACTTTTTTTCATCCATTAACTTCGAGTTTTTTATCGAAGTTAACTAATTTACTTCATCTAAAAAACGTTTTCTTGGCTTATTTCAGATGCCCCTGAAGATGCTATTATAAGCGAAAGTACTTGGGCTTGATTTAATTATTTTGTGCTCGATAATAGCCTTATTTTCAAAGTTCATTTATTCGAGCATTCAACCTCATTTCATTCATAACATTTCTGACCCATTGAGCCACTCTTGGTCGCTTCGGAGCACTTTTGCCAGCTTCAGTCAACTTCCATGCCTTCATTCTATTCACTGGATCAGGCATGGATTCAGGTTTCATTAAAGGTTACTAATCAACGCCGAAAATCAGACGGATTGGGCTTCATAAGATCCAAACAGTGCTGAGAAGTGGTAACACGATCATGTTTTCTGGTTACTGGTCAGCAAATGCAGCACTCATTGGCAGGATAATCTGTTCATGCGCTCTCTAATTCTTATGTACTCTGCCAATTTACCCACTTTCACTTGACAACCAACTAAAACCATTTCATGAACTTTCTTCACATTTTCCGGTGTAATGGCATCGAGAGGCTTTCCAAATCGTGGTTCATCCAATGCAGGTATATAGCCACTATGAAATTCACGGATCCAAAATTTGATAGTGTAGTTTGAGGAGCATAGTCCCATAATATTTATCCAGTTATTCGTCTGATTTCTTTGCTCTGTTATTTCTCAAATAATAATATATAATGGCAAATCGAAAATCGTTTTTCTCCATATACGTCATTTTTACAAACACGTCAACTTCATCTGTCAACTGCATCGCGTTAAAATTTGACATGTATGCTTATAGAAGGTTAGACTTTCTAGAACTAATGCTTTTTTAGATCGCAGCGCCCTAATCGACGAAGGAGGTAACTTATCAGACCACTTGATAAATGGGATTCCTTTCTTATTGCGATCATTTTACCTTAACGATAGCTCCGAAGAGCTTGTCTAAGAAACTAAATATTATATACCGTTTAAAAACCGATAAAGATATTTATAATTTTTACACTTTTTTAGGCATAACGGAAATATTCTCCTAAAAAGCGATGGTCACCTGATCCATATCGATTTTGGTTTTATCTTATCAACGTCACCGAAGAATCTTGGTTTCGAAAAATCGCCTTTCAAACTAACTCCGGAATTTGTAGAAATAATGGGAGGTGAAAATTCAGATATGTTTGAATATTTCAAAATTTTGATATTGCAAGGATTGATTGCTGCCAGGAAACACCATGCAATGATAGTTACCTTGGTGGAGATTATGCGATCAGGTAAGTACATGTTTCGAATAATTACATAAATCTACTAAAATATTCACAAACAAGGCCTGTACTATTTCGAGATTGAGTTAAAATGATAAGTGTAATATTTATCTTCTTTTTAATTTCTGTTGGACATACAGATAACACTCAGGAGCTAATAAAATATAGGATTTGCCACTCAAAAGAGATATTTGGAAATATTAATTTAATTTTGTAGAAATGCTAAAATAGTTCGATTTTTATTCCAAGGGGGTCGTCTTTTAATGAGGTCGGCCTCTTCTCTTCCAGTACAAATCCTTAATTTTAAATAGGGAATAGACCATGTCTGGCACATCGTTAGACAGATATTTCGCTGGAGACTTCTGGCATCCATGATCGTTCTTTTCATATTAACTATATTCTTTTAAAAAAGTAGCAATTTATTAAAACTATTATACCTCTTAAATACTACACGTAGTACCTATGTTTTTAGTAGTGTTAATGATAATTAACGACAAAACCTACATTGAAAGAAATTTGCAAAAAGTTTAATTATTTGAACTGTAGTTTTTAGCATTTAAGAGCGATATTATTTCCATGTTTTTTGAAAATCCTAAGTGTGCAAGGAGCACAGCGAAATTATTTAATCAACTTCATCATTATAAAAAAACTTCATCATTTATATGTATCACTAATTAAAAAATTTGATGAAACGAAATCAGAATTAGACAAAAAAGGAAGTGTGAAAAACTTTTAGGACTGAAGCGGCAGAAGTAGCAACTTTAGGTCATCTTAATTTGGAACCTACTTCAAATACTAAGAAATTAGCTAAAGAATCTGGGTTTTCGCGCATCACTGCGCAGTACAAAATTTCATCCCTACAAAATACACTTTTTACGGGAAATCTCATCAACAATATCAGGTATGCAAATGACATTGTAGTGTTATGTGATATTCTACAATACCTCGAGGATGTGCTAAATTTTGTCAGTGAAGTAGGAAGACAAATGGGTTTGAATATAAATGTGGCCACGACTAAATTTATGACCTTAAGTCGAAATTCATATCCTGATGAAAATTTACATATCCAGAACAACCAACTGAAAGAGTATTTTTTTAATAATTTTAAATAAATTATTAAATCGGACATAATTAAGTTTAACCTTCATTAAAATGAAACATGATAACATAACATAAATATAAAGCTACAACAGAGGATATAAACATATTACATTGGGAAGATGGACCTGAAACGTTAAATTGGCTAAAAACCAGAATGGCTTCAGGTAACATGTGTTGACAACACAAGCTCCAAATGCATAATTGAGGCGACTTAAAGACTAGGAAGATAAAGACTGCTCATTACTCAGATATGTACTGCATACATACCTAACGAAGAAAAAGATACCTCAATGTCTACCAAAAAAATTCTCAACAAACTAAGGAAGATGAATTTGGGCCTGAAGACCTTTTAAAAGCCTTTCTATATTCATTTTGAGTCTTACAGACTACGCTGATTTTTATAGATTTTGATGGATTGTTTTCCATCAATTTGAACTATACGAATAACTTTCAACAACCCAAAAAGATGAAATGGCTACGTTCGGAATATTATTACAGTTTTTTTTATTATTGAATAATCTATAGACTTCTTTTGCAGCGCTTTTGTTACTGCAATACTTTTGAAAGAATCTTTAATTGTATGCGAACTAAATCGTTTGATATTTACTCATCTTTTATTTTGCAGGATCCCAGTTACCATGCTTTAAATCGGGGGCTTCAACGGTGCAAAATCTCAAGAACCGCTTCCACATGAGCATGACCGAGGAACAACTCCGACTCGAAGTAAATCGTATGGTAGAGGGCAGCATCCATTCCCTCTCTACAAAATTATACGACGGCTTCCAATATTTCACCAACGGCATCCTATAACTGTGTCACTATTCCTCAACTCTAGGTGGTAATTTGTTACTAGATATATGATTGTACAGAGTGTCGTATTGTTTTTATAGTTCGGTCTGCACGAGTAAGAATAGATTTAAAATGGAACCGAGAGGCTTTACTTTATTGTACATATAAAGATTTTTTCAAAACTCTTGTAAGAAATTATTAGAAAACTTGAGCGGAAGTTTAATATTGTTATTAAATTGACGATATTTTCAACACGTACTATTATGTCACCAAAAAATTGTTTTTTTTAACGTAATGTTTTTTGTGTATGTTGTGATCAACAGGCTAAATACTATATTGGTTTGACTTCATGTTGAGAATAGGAAAAGAGAAAATAAGTTCAAAATTGAAGATTGAATCTTTTCACTGCAAGCGCTTCTAGTTGCTTCTATTGGACTTATTTTTATTTAAGTCTGATTAGTTCAAAATTGAAACTAAAAGAACTCTGCTTTAATCAGGTCCTCTTTAGTGCCGTCTAGTAAAGAAATTGATTATTTTATTGAGAGATCTTTCGTAAAACGGCAAGTTTTGGTGTAAAGGTAAATATATTTAACAAATTTTACTTTTTTTATCTAAACATGGTTTTTGTGCTTTGGGATGAATAGTGTATAAAATAAATGATTGTATGTGGCAACATGAATACTGTCAATAACTTTACCAATTAAATAATCCTACATTATAGCCTAAATTAAATACACTCCGCCAAAAAAGTATCGCATCACCTATGAAACTGCAAATTTTGGATTAAAAATAATTTAAAACATGAATTGTGTACTGTTGTTTTTTGTTATTTTTTAAGTACATAACAAGTATTAAAAGAAAAATGAAGAATGTACGAAAAATAAAGGTTTTATTTAATTTATTTCATAAATTAGAAGTAAGCGCACAAACAGCATTGAATAATAAAAAATCAAAATCAAAATTAATGATAATTTAGTAAGACGTATTGCCTCCTCTAGCTCTTATAACATCTAAACAACGTTGTGGCATACTTCCAATTAATCTTCTTAGATAATCTGGATCGATATTGTCCCATTCTATGGTTAACAACCGTTGCAGGTCCTGAAGATTAGCTGGCGTCACATTACCAGATCTCACCCTTCTGTAAAGATGGTCCCAAACATGTTCTATTGGATTTAAGTCTGGGCTGTGCGCTGGCCAATTCAAAACTTGTAAATTTACCTCTTGAAGGTACTCGGTAACGATTCTTGCGACGTGTGGGCGTGCATTGTCATGCATTAAAACAAAGTCATTACCAATAAATGGGGCGTAAGGAACAACATGCATCTCTAAAATGTCTCTAATGTACCTATCAGCAGTTAAGGATCCTCCATCTAGCTGTACCAATTCGGTTTGACCCCTAAGAGATATTCCACCCCAGAGCATAATAGATCCTCCTCCAAAGTTTGTCGCCAATCTTAGATTGCATTGAAAATAACGCTCGCCATCTCGTCTATAAACTGGTATTCTTCGATCCGAAGTGTATAAACAAAATCTTGACTCATCCGTAAAGAGTATGTTACCCCAGTCGTTGATATTCCAGTTTACGTGCTCTCTTGCAAATGTTAGACGTGCTATACGGTGTTCCCTTGTAAGTCTCGGTACAGTGGCAGCTACTCTGGCCCTAATTCCAGACTCTCTTAAGATGTGCCTAACAGTTTCTGAAGACACACGTACATTTCGAGTCTCGGCTAAAGCATGTTGAAGTTGACTCGCAGTCACATGCCTTCGACGTAAAGCCTGAAGTACTAAAAATCTATTGTCCACATGCGTAGTTGCTCTTGGTCGACCTGATACAGCTCGTCTTTCATAAAGACCAGTCTCTCGGTACCTTACTACCACTCGTGATACTGTCGACTGATTTACACTCACTAAATTTGCCACATACCTCTGACTCCTTCCATCTTCAATGAGGGAAATTATTCTAACCACTTGATCTCTCGTTAAATTTAAATTTATATTGTCGCGACCTTCCATACTCAATATTTAATACGAAATTTTAAATTAAAGGCAAACTGTATACTTTTTACAAAACTAAAATAAACACTGATAATATAAAAACCGGACAAAATAGCAATTAACATTTTTTTCTTAAACAATAAACTGTATTTACAAATTTCTTCTTCATATTTATTCTAGCCTTAATATTCTTATAGGCCAGAAAGAAATTATTTAAATTAACCAAATGCTGTCAGAAATATTTGTAATTTTATAAGTGATGCAATACTTTTTTGGCGGAGTATATATATTTGTACTCTTATATTTATTTAGAATATTTTAATATTAAATCCTACTATTACTATTTTTACGACATGATAAGAAAATTAAATACTCTTTATATTGACAATTAAGTAAAGCCGTATCAAGTACACTCTATAATTTATAATCTATTTTTAAAGGATGTTAATCTTATTTATGCGAACGTGATTTATAGGTGCGGGAGAGAAAAAATTTATAAACTTTCGTAAGGTTCACATTCAATTGTAAAATTAGTTTATTAAGGACAAAAAACCGCCCTAAATTATTTTATTGTTGTTAAAATGCTCAAAGTTTAGAACACCATTCGTAATAGAAGCGAAACTGAACGAAAAAGTGAACTGTTTACGGATCGTAGTGGCGTTTTTAAATAATATATTAGTGTTAAGAGGGGCTATTCGCATTGAAAACGGACTACTGAAGTCTGATATCGTACGAGTTGGTGTGAGTTATGAATCTTTCCAGACAATTTTTAAGAACACACAAAGAGGCATATGAAAGCTTTTATCCACAAATTTATTACATAACATAATATCGAGAAATAAGATCATTGTTAAAATAGATAAAACGTGCTTAAAGTCTAAACGATTTAAAGATTCAGTTAAATGTTGATTTTTATATTCAGAAAGTAGAGCCACAAAACATTTCAATTGTTTTGTAAAAGTTTTACAATAAAATCGTCATGAGGGCTAAATCGAACATAATTTTTTGAAAATTAATCACTTTGCACTTATCTTGGCTTGATTGAAAACTATAAGGAGTAGTTTTACAAGTTTCATTTACACCTAAAAAATATCACAGCCCTTATTCTTAAAAGTAAGACACCTATGAAAATGAACCATACTCATTGTCGCTCATCTACATATATCTGTTTGCGGATCGTTATAATCAGTTCTCAGTCAAGAAAAAGCTGATGTAAACAATTACACGTGAACAAATTCTGATTTCGAACTGCCTCCAACCCAAGCAAATACAGGTATGTATCGAGGTTGACTCGCCTCCTAGTCCCTCTAGCTCTATCTTACGAATTACGTACACACATAAACAGGACCTACAGCAAATGACTCTCAGTGGTTTTGCAATTTTTGTTCTAAATAATTTTTGGTTTTGTAGTGAGAATTTCGCACCAAAAGCAAATAGGTACCCTCGGAGCTACCTATACTACGAGACAGACACCTATACGCACAGAGTTCTGTTAAATAACCTAGAGATCGAACTTTTTATAAGGCATGATTGAAGCAGGCTAGGGTACGCTATTTTTCGGCGAAAAAAAGGGGGAAACAATGCCCCCTTAAAATCGTTTATGTTAACATTATTTATGATTTTTATCATGAAATAATGAATTTGGGGACTTCCTTTATCAACTCAAAACTTATATACAAGCAAAACTATTGTTTTTTGTCAAACCAATTACAAAAAAGATCGATCTCGCGGGTTTAATGTTACATTTTTAAGAAAATGAATTTTAAGAAAAAGGAGAAAAAAAGTTAGTTCATGTCTTTTTGAAGTAGCATTTACTTTTTCAGTCCTCCGTTTTCCCAGTGTATAGAGTTTAACTCTAAGGTGTTCATAGCTAACCGTCTTAACGAGCTCGAAACGGTGACAACTGAAGTCTACTACTAGTGCATATCCTGAAGGAAGGAAGGGTTATTTACTACAGATAGAGCAATGCCATTGACTATCTTAGCATTCACACACGAACAATTTTTGAAGTCATCAGTTGCTAAGATCAACGTTGTTTTTGTGTTTTCCACAACCTGAAAGGGGGCTTTTATGATAATCACGAACCCACCATTATTTTTTCAATTTACTAACCTGCTAAATTCCCTAACAGAAGAATAATCGGATTTTGGTTTAAATAAACATTGAATACAATCTAAATACTTCAGTTTGGGAACAATTTTCCTAATAATAAATTCACACATATAAAAAAGATACAATCATTTAATTTAGATTTCTCATTTACTACCAACATAATATTCAACTCTTCTGGAAGCAGATCTATGCCATTTTCTATTTCATTAACTTTAAAGAATATTCTTATCCACTCTATTTGGAATAGATTTTCCTCATTTTCATTGTTATTTAGATTATTCCATGCAATAAAATTGGCAAAGGGAAAATAAGTGAAGTTATCATCAGAATTTTCTTCATTGCTTCAAAAATTGTAATCAATTTGGATTGTTATTAAAACCGTACTCTTTTCGAATTTTTCAGAACAATATCTCAATTGCATCTCGTGAAGATTTATAAATCAAAACATATTTATATCCTCTGACAGCAATAAACATTTTGGAAATTTTTAATACAGACTGGCAACTTATTGCAAATATTTTTATACATGTTTTCCTGGAAGATTTATTCAGTAAGTTATTGTGTTCTGTTCTCAACCAGAAGGTATTGATAAATGTCATTTATTTCTTTCCTAAAAAGAATGATTGTTTTCAAAGATTTGTTTCTTATATCCTTTTGTAAATGGATTCCTAATATAAAGGAATGCAAAGAGTCGATCTAGGGCTCTAATGAACTTTATAGTTGCTTCTGCTCCTTTAAATTCCTCTAACCCTTGCACCAGTAACAATTTTAAGGTATTTCTACACAATTATTATAAACCATAAACCCAAAGAATATCCATATATTACAAAAACTATGTATCTTATCTAATTATGATTTAAAAATACACTTGTATAAGTAAAAATGATTATTTTTCGCCCACTAACACAAAATTACATATAATTATCACGGGAACCAAATGAAATACAAACAATGTTTACATGTTTTTGCCCTCTTATTTCTCTCCATCTAGCGGACAATATACGCACTATACTTTTAAAATCTGCTTCAATTATTATCCTCCAGCTCTACATCTATTTATTATTACTACATCGATGCCTATATGTAATAAATAAAAATAAATTTTTGTTTGTCTTTTATACCACATTTTCCATAAAAATTTAAGGACATTGTCCATAAAAACTACAGCATTTTCTAGATGCTTTTTTCTAGATGTAGATATCAATTAAACCTCAATAAACCATCTTCAACAAATCATTATTATCGACGATTTATACTTGTTACATGACCGTGAATTCAGTCCAAACTGTATGTATAGCTTAAATTGATATTCATGGAAACACCAACATAACTTCATTTCAAAATATGAATTGTATGAAA